CACTTATAAAAAATAAAAATAGTCGAAATGGCCTTCTGAAATACTATGTTTGCCGGGAGACTTGATGCGCCTTTTTCAAATCTCTCTAAACTAAGGGGGAAGACCCCTTTAGAAGTTTTTGATGTTTTTCCTTTGCCAAAACAGGCAAGCAAATCTGTATCAAACATGCAAATCATTCTTTAAGCTGAAACAGCAATGTAAAAGCTCCATTTTGATTTAATCTTTCGTTTGTTTTTATCGAAAACAAACACTTGTTATTGTTGTTTGCAATGTTGTTCTGAAACAACATTTGACGGCCCGTTCAAGCCGTTTTTAAAAAAAACTCATAACTTTCTTCAAACAAAAGTTTTACAGATTATGGAATCAGAATCAAATATAAATATTATTTTTGTGCACAACTTTTAAATTTAATGCACCAAATATGCTTATCCTATTCGCGCCGATATTCAGCAACAATTTTTTGATGTATGGTGCAGCACTGTGCTATAATGTTGTCAAGACAACCCTTACCGTACGCAGAAAGCACGGTGGTGTACACAAAATTTCTGCGCATCAAAGTACAATAATCTTCAGTATAAGCGAAGTGCTTGCTTGCTCCACAATGAGCAAGCACTGGCCGAAAGATGAGGACATCTGTAGATATCCCTACAATCGTAAAAAGTATTCATCAATTTGAATCTGCAGTTTACATATTTCAAAAGAAAACCTGAAAAAGTATGTACAAAGCCAACTTTGAATACCTTGAAGTTTCATTTCCTAGCCCCCTAAAGACAGTTTCCAGGCAGAATCATAATTCTAATTGTCATTGTATGGCTGTCGCACTTTTATCAATCTAATCGTGAGTTTCCGCAGTGAACTCGACAGAAGACCCGCAGAAGAAGTCGTCGTTGTCGTGACTGTGAAACAGCTTTCTTGGAAATTTCAGTCCCTAGCATGATGGTTGAGATGTAAGTACCCTCGCCAATATCTGTCCGACTCGTCAACGAGGTTGGCGTTGGAGGAGGTGTTATTGCTGGCAACGCAGCAAATAGATATTTGGAAGCTTTGAACCCTTGAAAACTACGTATTAAACACAAAGAACCTCGACAAGCTCTCTATGCCAAAATCGAGTTCACTTCCTATCATACCATTTCTAAAGAAAATTCCCAGATAATTTGATTGCCATACTTTAAAAGCAGGTTCAAAAGAAGGACAGTAAGAACTGGAACTGTTAGACGAGTTGACCTGCGTAGGGCTTGTAAATCTTTGCAAATTTTGTCGCAATGAATCACCTTTGGAACAAAATGCGAGTGGTATAAATAGCATTTTTAACCGATTAATGGCTCTATCCAATTATATCGTAGTGTATTCTATACATGAAAAAATAGTAAGAATACTGAAGATAGGCAACTTCCAAAGCTCCATACATTGAGATTGTTTATTACGTTACACAGATTATAAAAATGCTAATATAAAGCATTCTCTGATTTACTTTGGTAATAGGTGTCCTGTCGTCCTCTTTCCCGATGGACATATATCTCATAATTCACAAAGCCTCGGATGCATCCACAAACAAAACTTCACATGATTTATCTCTTAAAATGAAATTTATAATAATACTAGAAAAAAACGACAAATAACAGCAGTAGAAAGTAAACACCAATAATAGAAAGAGCCACAAAGTGGGCCGGCTCAGATGGTCGTTGGTTCCTCTCTGCCCATGGCATCCTCCAGCTGGCTCCTCTTCTCCTTATGAGGCTACGC